CCCAAATTCCAAATCCCCCAAATTCCAAATCTCCCAAATTCCAAATCTCTCAAATATCCAAACCCTCAACTCCCTAAATCTCTAACCTTCAAATTCCCACAATTCCACTCTACCCAATTTCCTAAAACCTCAAATTCCTAAACTCACAACTTTGGTCTCCAGTTGCGCCAATGGTCCCATAGTCCAGCATAAAACAGCTGCATCGTTAACCCCAACCCCTCCATCGTCCGAGGTCTAGTCCCTTAATATGGTTCCACGTACCGATAACGTCCTTGTTAAAAGTCCATCCTCCCATCGGTACGCACTTCTCGCCCCACTCGTCCTTGAGCTTGAGCTCCTCTACTTGTTCTTCTGTGAGGCCCATCATGTTATGAGGCAGCATGGTGCCGTGCTTCGCCAACTCCTCGATTTCTATTTTTTTTAAAGAGACCAGCACACTGTTACACGTTTAAGCAACTTGGCGTAATTATTATACGACGTGCGACTAATATCGCATGGCGACCACGATGGATGGGTTCATAAACACGGCCCTCGACTTCTTATTACGCGGTGTTATTACAAGCCGCGGGTGAAACCCTCTCCCGATAATCGTTAATGGATTTCTCGCGTTCGTATTCTAACTATACGGGAACGCAGGATCGCGGACTTTGAAAATGAGGGAAAAATCGGGAGAACGGAGCGGGGTCTCGCGTGAACGAGCGGCGTACGTTTTAAAGGCTGCGATAATTCATGGCTTTGGAAACGCGTGTAATTATCCTCTCGCGCAGATAGAGCTTTCCCTCGTTGGTTAGACGCGTTAATGGCTCGTAAATCGTTCATACTTTTTTCGGCTAACGCAGGGAGAATTGATTGTTTAGTTATTGGTGATTTATTTCGATCATTAAACGTAATAACATTTATCTCAATGACAAAACGGAATAAACTTATGATCTACACGACATGCAAACTGCTATCTGATTATGCGAGCATGAATAATTTTATCTTCATTCAAGGTGAAGAGTGAAAACGAAACGAGAAAATTCAAACGAGATTAAAAATGTGAATAAACAAAAATAAAGGTTTTATTCCACTGAATTAGTAAGGCAGAATAAATGATAGGGTAACTCGATACGGGCGATGAAATCATTGGCATTCGGAGGATCTCCATGACGTTTCGATAAAATCGTTCACATTCGGTTCTCACGTTGTACTTGTCAAAGTGAAAAGAAACAGAGAAACGATAATAATGCGTTGCACGTTGTTACCTCGGGACAATTCGTGTCGCTTAAATTACGAGCACGCTGTCCTCAAGTTAAGCCTAAATAAAGTGTAACTTCTCAGGTAAGCGGCCATTTCTGTAGCACGCCATTAGACGACATTTTGTAGGAACACTTCGAGGTGAACGATCATTACCGTAACATATTCTTGAAACCTTTAGCCGGCCATTGTAAATAGTAGTAATGTCGTATACAACGTCTTCAACTCGAGCCTCCACGTGTGTGTCGTACAGAAACTGGCTCTCCTCGCCTTTCTTCACGTGTAGACGGACCATTTTCTTGGAAGCTTCAAACAAAACAGTCGGGTAAATCGACCGAGCTTTTATTAGCCCGTGTTACTTTGCTTTTGCGAAACTGAGCGGAGAAAACCGTCGGTACATGTGGGAATAAATTTCTGACCGTAATTGCAATTCACGTTTCAATGAACAGACGTATAAATGCATATTTCCAGAAACGTCTGACGGAGATGCGAAACTTTATTATTCCTGTTTCTTTATAATAATGCTAAATTTGACTAGTTAGATTATTTTTGCTTTGTCACGTTTAAATGCAATGTAGACTTTTTTTAAATTAAGGTGGATGAATTTTTTTGTAGTTTGGTTTCGGTTTTGGGGAGAATTCAGAGAGAATCTAAGAAGAGTTTTACAGGAATCTAAGAAGAAATTAGAGGAGTAAGACATAGAGAGAACTTAGGATTGGATCTGAAACACTTTGTGACTCAAGATCAATTTAGAGACTAATAAGAGTTTCGAACTTAAAATGCACCTGAATTCAAAATATTTACAGAATCTACAGAATCTATAAAGAGTATCTAGAATATAAGTAGAAGCCGAAATCTAAGAAGAATCTAAGCTCTAAAGATAACCTAAGATTTTTGGAAGAATGACCTAAGAACCTAATGTCCAAGGAGACCTTACAAAAGACCTAATCTAAACACTCCATCTTACATCATCCCTTAATTAAAAGAAACCTACATTGCACCAAATATCTCATAAGGTTATATTTCTTCGCTAACAGTAACCTAATAGACTAAAGCACGTAAACAAGTTAGTCGGCTCCGAACTTACTTATAAAATGTTAATTCTTCTGGATTAAGAATTGTTTCCTTCGGTGTTGCAGAAAAAGATCTACCACGTGTTAGATAAAACACCTTCGACAATTTTCTTTGATGTGAAAATAGCGACGTGATTTGTAAATCGACAGACCTCGATGAAAATGAACAAAAGGTTCTAGTGTATTATCCTAGCAACAACAGGTATCGATTAAACAGCTCGAAACGTGGTAAATCTGTGTGTAGCTGAATGTATACGTGTAATATTGAAGGCATTATGATAATATCGAAATTAAAGGTGTAAGTAAATGGTTTGAATGCATGGTAGAGAAAATAAAACGATCTCGTTTAATGAGTATATAATCGTGTTTCATTGTTGTACAATATACATATTTACATTCTATTGAAACACGGATTACAAGAATAAAGACGATCATATGTCTGTTACAAATAACGAAGATACATTCAGACGCTCTCCCTCTCTCACTTTCACTCGCGTGCTCCTACTGGCGTTTTTTGGACACAAAAATATCATCATATATTTCTTCTTCTCCATATAATTACTTTATGTCAATAATAATAATAATATAATAATAATAATAATAATTAAATATTCTCGACGTAACGTTCGTAGAATAAAAATCTATACACTTATAATAATGATATCCGTAACGTCATCTAAATTGTAAGTGACTAGTATTATGTTAAAATACACTTATAATTCGATTCGATGAGGTGTATTATTTCTTCAGGTCCATTTCCTGTATTTTTTTTCGTTTTTCTTTTGGAGGAGGGTGGGTTCCGAACGAAGGTGGTCCCTATGCGTAATCGCGATGCATGCACGAACGACGAACGTTCTCGAAACGATAATAATAAAAAAAAAGAGTTCCACGAACCACCGGCTCCATTTGACATGTACAATTTCAGAGAGACAATTAACAATAGACTCTATGACAATTTCAACGTTTCAACATCGATACGAGCGACAATGACGATATGCTTTTTTTTAACTAACGAGCTAACATCGTTACCCAGCTCGCGAACCGGGCGGAGAAAACTTACACGTTTATTCAAAATCCTTTCGCATTGCTCGATTAATCGGGGTTAATCGTGAGGTTAGGGTTAGGAGCGCGATTAAAATGCAATTTAACAACACGTTACATCCGTGAACGTTTACAAATAGATGTACGTGCGACGCGCGTTTACGTTGATATTTTACACAGTCTGTTTCGCGACATTTAAAAAATAATCTCGCTCTAAAACGGCCGTCTCGGCGGCGTGATATGGTACAATAGAAAAATTGGCATTTGGTCCGAAAGAAACATACAAAATCGGGGCCCCTTAAGTGCTAAACGGCGTGAAGTGTTAATATTGTGCGCGGCTTCTTCCACGTAACTCGCTCATCGTTCGGTGAGATTGTAAAACATCGTGCGATAAATACACAGACTGCGATGTACGTACTTTTTTTTCAGCGACTACGATCGAAAAATATTTACGTTTGTTCTGAACAACGTGTTAATCGGGATACGGCTTGTTAAAATCACTATCTACCATCGAAAGGCATTTTCGCGATGTTGTACGAGGGCATCGCGAAATATCGTGTGTTTCCTGTCTATGTTATCATTGAAAACAAACATTGCTGTCAGAAGTTCGAACAACAACAACGAATATGTTCGGAAAAATAACGCGTTACCTTAGCTACGCGAGGGAAAAATACACGTACGATACGCCATGGTCGTGCGTTTCGATTCGGTCTCCTGCCTATTGAACGACTTTTAAAATCACTGGACGGCAAGATCCTTGGACAATATAAAGCGTTACACAGAGAATTTTTCGTCTAGAATTACGGTAACAATAAATCCTTTCATTCTTTCTGCTATCTAACGAACTCGACTATGCTAAAACATCTCAGGCTTCAACGAAAATTGCTTCACATCGATTAAAGCTCGAAGCACGGTATCGTTTCTCTAGCACATTTTATCCGGATCGGCTGAAGAAACACGCGATGGGGTTCATCTTCGACGAACAATTTCTATCGTTCCTTCATATTCTGGTCATGGTGTCGACGAAATGGACGCAATATCGAATCTCTACTCTTCGTCGATAGACTGAACTTGTAGCGCATCCTTCAGGACATTCTGATCATCTTGATTTTGTTGCTTCATGCCAGGACCGTGCAACGGTGATCGTTG